ACTTTTCTTACTGCCTGCTCTCCAGTGCCCAACTATAAATACATCAGCACACACACACACACACACACACACACAATCCCCCCTCCTCAAATCTCCCTTTTAAAAATAAATTACATATAAATTCTTTTAAGAGGTATTGGTCATCATGAAAAACTGAAAACCAAGATGCACAGGCATTCTTTTGCATTTTGCCAAATTATAACCTTTCCCAAAGAACATATACATAACAATCCCCTTAAAAAGCTCACTGGTTTTCTCCAACCTGAGGGAATTAAAGAGTACCTCAAATTTCCCCCAAAGCACTTTATGTTAATGTTCCCAACTACAATGTCATACAATTTGAGCAATACTTTCATTATAACTTAATAGCAGTTACATTTCTCATTAGGAATGAATCCAGTGACTTTCTGGCCCATGCAAGCCTGGCCAGGGCAAAATCATCGCCAAGGGGCTGGTGCTTTCTGGGTCTACAGATACAGTTAGTGTTCCAGGTCTACAGGACGAAGCCAAAACCATAGGTATCTTATGAATTTACCAATATAAATGCTGCTTTATCATGTTTCTTGAAAGCCAATCTTCTGTGACAGCTTAACATTATTTTGTTCCCTCTTTCAAATTTCCAAACAATACATTCATTTATACACACTAAGTGACTAAATATCTGTTAGTTGGGCTCTGTACCAGGTGAGGAGGAAGCATTAGATTCCTGCCCTTACCAAGCTAAGAAAATAGTAGGGGAAATCAAAATACATGGGTGACACCACCATAATGTGTTAAATGCTACTGCCAGATTCTGTGAAAATGTAAAAGAGGAATGCAGAATATTTAACTCAACTTGAAGGATCACTTGAGCCAAGAGTTAAAGAACACATTTACTAAATGAAAGTAAAGGGGAAAGAGGGCTTTCTAGGTCAGAGGAGTGGCACTTGAGATCAGGACACGGGTGTAAGGAAAAAAAAAGGAAGCCTATACACGAAAAAGTGCTGCATATCATTAATCAGGGAAATACAAATTGAAACCACAATGAGATACACCTGTTAAGAATGGCTGTTACCAAAAGACAAGAAATAAGTGTTGCCAAGGATGTGGAGAAAAGAAAACCCTTGTGCACTGTTGGTGGGAATGTAAATTGGTGCAGACACTATGGAAAACAGTAAGAAGTTTCCTCAAAAAATTAAAAATACAACTACCATATGATCCAGCAATTCCACTTCTGGGTATTTATCTTAAAAAAATAAAAATACTAACTCAAAAAGATATATACATCCCCATGATCCATTACGGCATTATTCACAATAGCTAAGATATGAAAACAATCAAAGTGTTCACTGACCAATGAATGGATAAAAGTTATGGTATATGCTGTCTATACAACAGAATGTTATTCAGCCTTAAAAAAGAATAAAATCTTGCCACTTGTGACAATATGGATAGATGTTGTGAGTATTGTTCACAGGTGGCAAACCCAAGGCCCGTGGGCCGAATACGGCCCTCCACCTTGTTTTATCCAGCCCAGCACCTTGTTTCTACGCAGTGGTAGCGTCGAGCTTCTTGTCCCTAGTTAAGGACTAGTTACATTTATACAGTCCTAAAATTACATTTGGCCTTTTGATGGCAACCAAAAGGCTGATGTGGCCCCCAGTGAAAATGAGTTTGACACCCCTGTGCTAAACGAGTTAGCCCCATGTGCTAACTGAAGTAAATCACAGAAAGACAAATATATGATCTTGTTTATCTGTGGAATCTTAGAAACAAAAACAACCAACATCAACAACAAGCTCACATACAGAATAGACTGGTGGTTGCCAGAGGTGGGGTAAGCAAAATGGATATAGGGAGTCAAAAGGTAAAAAATTCCAGTTGCAAAGTTAAGTCATGGGAATACAATGTACAGCAGGGTGACCATAGTTAATATGCATATTTGAAGTTGCTAAGAGAATAAATCTTAAAAGTCCTCATCACAAGAAAAAAATTATACCTATATATGGTGATGGATGTTAACTAGATTTACTGCGGCGGTCATTTCAAAATATACACTAACACTGAATTGTATACCTGAAACTAATATAACGTTGTGTGCCAATTATACCTCAATTTTTAAAAAAAATGAAGCCAAGACAGAAGACAGAATAAAGATCACAAAGAGCACTGTCCATACCCTGAAGAGTTTGGGTTACTGAGAAAGCCAAGCTTTCTATTGTAAAAATCTATTACAATCTATTTTTGGAGGAAGTCTGACAGGACAGATTTCCATGTTATAAAGATCACTCTGTGGTAATATGGAGAAGTGAAAGAGGCGTAGAGGGTTGGCAATAACTTGAAGGCAGGAAAACCCTGAAGGAAGCTACTGCAATAATCCAAGCAAGCAATGATGAGGGCCTGGAGTAAGGTACTAGCATGAGGTTAGAGCAATGGTTCTCAAATGGTATCTCCAGATTTCAAATCTGGGAAAGTACTGCCGGAATCTAGTAGTTAGAAGCCAGAGATGCTGCCAAACATCCTACAATGTTCAGAACAATGCTCCCTGCCCCCAAATGAAGAATGATCCGCCCCCAAATGCCACTAGTGCCACAAATGAGAAATCTGGGGCACAACAAATTCAAGAGCTATTAAAGGAGGTCTACAAGATACCATTTGTAGACTAAATGGGTACAGATAATAAGTATGAAAAGGGGTAAAGGAGTTCTCATTTTTTTTTAACATTTTTTTAAATTTAATTGTTCAAGTACAGTTTTCTGTCTTTTACTTCCATCATTTCCTGATTATGGGAATCTGAGATGATGGGAGAAAAAGCATGGAGAAAGAAAGCATGGGCGTCATTTTCTTGACACACACAGATTTGTAAGTATTTGTGGTACATCCAATTCAGACATGGTGGCTTGGAGCACAAGAGAGCTATTTGGACCAGAGATTCAGACTGGGAATTCAAACAGTAAGAGAAGCCATTGGATTAGGCAGGAGTAACACAAAGTAAGGTATGAGTGTGTGGCACAAAAAATGAAAAACACTGAATAGAAACACAGAGCACCTTGAGACTTAAGGAAAAACTTACTCCAATATTATTCTTTTAAATTCTTTAACTTACACATGGAAAGAATTTTATTTGGAAAGTATTAACCTTCCATAAAACTGTATTTAAGGACTATTATTCTGTTACTCCAATTCTCAAAACTGTTTTAGAAACTCTAGTAGGAACAGTGGAAGCTCTGCTAATCAATCCCCCATTACCCAACATGCCCCATTATCTCTGATGCTCACAGGAGATCACAGGTCTTGCCCCTACTCTTATCAAGCAGTATGCTTACTAAGGGCCAACTGCACTTGTTCCAGGCAGTTATAATTACTGTTATTATAAACAAAATATTAATGAACCAATAAAAAAAGTGTTCAAGAAGAAAGCTGTTTCTATGAAAGTTAAGTCAAATGCTTTGGAAATACACAAAACCTTACCATATGTCAGTAACTGGGATCAAAAATTTTAATCAAACAAATACACAGATTAATGCTAAATATAAACTGACCCAGCATAAGCCTGCAGAGACAGCTAGTTAGGCACTCAAGAAGTCGGACCTAGGCTGGAAGCCTGACTCTCCAGGATCTTTTTTCTAGCTACTTAACCCAAGACTGTTTCTTCAACTACAAAATAGCACCAGTGCCATTTTAGTGTAGGATTATTTTGAGATTAAACAAGGTAAATACCTTGTTTAGGCAAGTGGCTAACAACGCCTAACCCACAGTGAACAGATATCCAGTACATAATGTTCTTTCAATCCTTTGTTGTGAAAAGAAATACTTTGCTTTTGAAGACAGCAGGTTTGAGATACCCGTTTCATGTTATGATTACACTGTCCAGCTAGCTGCTCTCATCTGTCCTACGGACTTCTACAAAGAAGTTTGGAAAAGGCCCACTACTACCTGTAGGCTGTCCTACTGGCAAAATCTCTGGTAAAGTCAAATCATTTAAAAAGAGCAGCAGACAGAATTTGTCACCAACAAAACCAAACCAATCCTGAAGGCCGAAGACTCAAACAATGTGATCTGACTTTTACATAGTATATTAGTCCTCATGTCTTTTTTAAAGTGAGTTATTTACCTCACTAAAAAAAAAACTATATTCACTTTGATAATATCATTTTCTCCCTTTATTTTATTTAAAAGATTTTTTTTCATCCTCAGGATTTTTTAAATTGCTTTTTTAGTGAGAAAGGAGGAGGCAGGGGGAGGGAGAGGGAGGAGAACATCGATGTGAAAGACAAACATTAATGGGTTACTTCCCACACGTGCCTTGACCGGACACTGAACTTGCAAACTAGAAATGTGCCCTGACAGGGAATCGAACCTGTGATCTTTTGGTTCATGGGATGATGCTCCAACTAAGCCACCTGGCCCTTTATTTTATTTTCTTTAACAAGGATAAAACTGACAGTTTCCCTTAAAATCTGCATGAGAGGGACCACATCACACTCATCATTTGATTTCCAGCAGTTAGCAGCAGAACACAGTAATTTTTCTATATAAAGGTAGTCACAAAAGTTATCATACCTACTCTTGTCCCACTATGTACAATACCTGTACTGGGAGGAGGTTTCTACCATGCGAGAGGTTAAGTGCTTTCCCTCAAATGTTTCATGATGGAAGGAAGAGCAGAACACTCTCTTGTTAACAGGACTGTTGTCTCCATAAAGTGTGGGGTGGGGCAGATGAGATCTTGATTATGATCAAGATTAATAATTAGCACTTTTTGAAATTATGAATTCTGTGAGACTGACCTCGTGTAAATATACAACTTGGGGGCTTCCACTACTTATGGAGGAACTAGCCAGAACTAGAGGAACTGCACCAGTAAGTAGGATGCAGTTCAAAGGAAAATGCAGAGGCTTTAAAACATGTATAACATAATTATAACTTGTGAAGATTTGGTAACTATGAAGTTACCAAATGTAGGATAGTTATAACTACTAGTTAATGTATAAAATCTTAAGAAACTCTGAGGAACTTACCTAGATTTATCCAAATTCCACCTGGCTTGAGTATTTTCCATATTGTGTCAATATAATCAATTACATTGTGAGCTGTGTCTATGAAGAAACAGGTAGCAATACAGTCCCAGGTATCTATTCAAGGAAAACCAAATTACTAAATTTGTCATGTTATCCTGACTTTTAATTAATTCCATAAACACACCAGCTACCTTTTACAGAATATCAATATTTCATTTAACTCCAGGGATATAGAAACTAAACCCTTCCACTCAACTACTATAATCAAGGTAACAAAATAATCTTTTATGAGATCCTTGGCAATTCATAGAAGTTTTTATTAATAATTTGACAAATTTGGAAATAATTTTTGATTATTTGTATCACAATATACTATCTTTACTACATGATATTGTCTTGTTTATAATTTATTCAACTGCCTTCATTTAAAATCAGTGAAGATGAAATAAGTTATCTGAATTTTAAAATTGTGATTTCAACCAATGTTAACTACCAATCGAAAAGGTTTCAGAAAGACTGCATGCCTATACTTTCTTAGTGAGTTCTATTCTTAGAAAGACATTCCCTGGGAACTATACAAGGGGGGACCCCCAAAAAACCAGAATTATCTTCTGGAGGACAGGACCCTTATAGTAACAGGATTCCCCTGCTAGGTGAGTGTCCTAGGAACCAATCTGTATCACGCCAGCTGGTGTTATTGTGACAGGCTACATTCAGCTTCAGTCAATTTTTTTTGAAGCAACATGTTTGACAATTTCATGATGGGTGATTTAGGAGCGCACCTGCCCACACCGCACTGCTTCGCCAATCTGGCCCCGAGCGACTTTTGTTTCCCAGGATGAAATAAGTCCTCAAAGGGAAACGTTTTGCAGACATGGAAGAGGTAAAACAAAAAACTGCAGAAGCAGGATTAAAAGACATCAAAATCAACAAGGTCGAAAATGTTTCGAGCAGTGGAAAAAACATCTGAATGGGTGTATTGCATTGAATGGAGAGTACTTTGAGGGGACTAAAGTTTAGACTGTAGGAATACACAACTTTTTATAAATGAACTTGTTTCTTTCTTTGGGTCCCCCCTGGTATAAAACAGCAGCCTCTCCCAGTCCCTCATCATCCCTTTTACCCTGCCTTAGTTTTCTTCCTCAGAATACTAATTTGTCATTGCCTCCTCTCTCCTCCTACAAGAATATGTAAGTTTCCTGGGGGGGGTTTGTTTTGCTCACTGCTTTCTTTCCAATGACTAGAACCTACCTGCCACTTAGCAAGTATTCAACAAATATTTGTTAAATGAATGATTTGCTGAGCCCTCAACTTTTTATTCTTCCTTTCATGCTGACACCCCTCCTTCCTCACCACATCCCTTTCTTTAATGCCTAGCACATATTTCTTCACTAGTTTGCCAGACTGAAATCCTAACTTCATAGCCTGATATAAAGGTCCTCCATGATGGGGAGCTAACCTGATTCTCTGGCCATATTTCCCATTAAATTTTCAAACACATCTCCCTCCCCCTTCCACTCAGGCTGTTGTATCATGCCCAGTTACCTCATTCATTCCTATCTACCTCCACCTACCTGGAATGCCATTCCTCCTCATTCTTCAAGTCACTGACTCCCCACAGAGAGCCAACTCTCTTCTCCCACTAACCTACTTCCATTTTTATTGCATTCATTACTCATTTGAACTTTGTTCACATATTGTCTTATATTAATAGACCCAACAGATTCTAAATTTCTTAATTGTAGGATTTATACTTCTTTATATTTTCCATCACTGCCTTATACATGACCTTCAAAAGCTTCTAAATTGTCACTGAAGTATACCTTATATTCTGCCATCAAAATAAATGACCAATCTTTGGCTTAGTATAAAATTAGCTCATTAAACTTAGAATAAAAAGTAAGATGTTTAAAATGCTTGCTTTAGACTTACTGCATTCTGAGTATATCTCCTGAAAATCACCTGCTGTCATAGAAAAATTAGAACCAGGAGGAAGACTGTGGGGGTCAACATCAGGGAAAAAGATGGGTCGAATCTGATCAGCTGACCTCCGGTTATTGCTAAACTGATGGATCCAGGGATAAAGCTTATATTTATTAATTTCAGAACATCTGCAAAATATGAGCATAAAATTCAGTGTTAACTAAATATTTTACCAAGAAAAATCTACTTTAAACACTAAAATGTATTCTTTTCAATTGAAGATTTACTTATATATAATCAATACTTAAAAAGTGTTACTACTACACCCTACCTAATTAACTGAAAATGTACACATGTATGCAGATGAGTAACCACTCATGAACTAAAAGAAAAAATTGGATTCTGATATATAAATGTGTTGTTCAAATATTAAAAAGGTATTTCCAAACTTCGAAATTAAGTAAAAACCAGTTCAAGTATTTTTCCAAAAAATGGTATGGGTTTTATCCGATACCTATTTTAGTTATTTTGTACAACTCTCTCCTTTTTTACCTTCTTATCATCCCCTAACTCACACGGCCACCAAGACAATGTATTATTTAAACAGGCAGCTATCCATTCTTTCTCTAACACACCTATTCTGACTTTAAAAATAACAACTCTTCTCCACTACTAAGAGAGGCCACAGAAGTTCTGAGAGATCTTTCCAACTGAGTGATGTGAGCTTATTTGGCCATTTAATAAGAATTTGATCAGGGAAAAAAGATGTGATTGTTACACTGTACTCTTACTCCACAAAGAAACAAAGGGGTGAAGTAGTTTAAGGAACAATGAGAAAATACTATTTCCTGGATCATACTTAGTCCTGAAATTCACACAGAAAACATTTCCATTTCATGCGATACCAGGTCACTTTCTAAAGTCACTAACCCATCCTGATCAAATTTCTGTTAACTAGGCAACTGATTAAAGTGGTAATTGTATAAGCAATTTAATGTAAGAGATATTTACAGTATGTATCATTAAATACTATGTGCTCATCTTCAAATTCAGAATTGTTCAAAAATAGGTAAGTCAATCTGGTTCTGAGAAATTACTATTTCTAGCAAAAAGTAAATTAAATACCTGTTGAGTACAAAGTTGGAAGAAAAGAGCATAAAAAAACTCCATTCATTTCCTTGACAAGCATAACCTAGCATAGCTATTTCCCAGGCCAGTCTTCCTAGTCCAGCACCAGGTACCAGAATATTTACTTTAGAAGGATCCCTGAAATGAAATAAGGCAATTATGTCCAACCCCTTAAAGAAAAAAAAGAAAAAGGACAAAATCCACATTAATAACTAAAACCTTTGATATTTAATAATAAGGTCACTCAGGACTCTGACTACTTAAAATTGAGAAATACTTCTAAATACCAATGAAAAATAAAGGCTTAAGGAATTATCTATCATATGTTTGAATATCAGATGAGGGTTTAATCCCTCAAATATTACTTTTCAAAGAAAATGTAGTCACCTTATATCTGGAGACTTACAAAGACACTCATATTCCTAGCAGCTGTCACCTGAACAACTGTCTTAGGAAGACAAATTATCCCAAAGGGATCACAATACATACAAAGAGACTGAACAAAATTACTTTATCATATAAGACGGTAAACAATTTTATATCTATATTCTATATCTGATACAATGGTTTATGTAACTAAACAGATTAAATACATATAAATTTTAATGTGTCATGTATATCTTTATAATCTTATATTTCAATTGGCAAAAGATTTTGGAGGGGGGATATTCTCACAAGGAAAAGCCTCTGAGTAAATCTGCATATACAATGGCAAATATACCACAAAAACACAACCAAACTATTCTCCACTTACTTGCATCACTCTACCACCAATTTCCTTTGCTATAAAATTCACCCTTCCACTCTAAGCCACTAAAAATTAGCCTTAACAAGGCAAAGGCCTTTCTCAGGACTTCTGGCAAATAGCTTTAAACCTAGGGCTCAATGGTATGTTTACAGAAATCCAAAGAAAAATGTGTATAATCATCTGTCATGTCAATTAAAAAGGAATTTCTCTATTGTCTGTATTTCCCAAATTTAGTTCATAAATCAAATCCAATTTCCAAATCTAATCCCACATAGGGTTTCTTTTTATCTTTAAACTACACGGTGTTTAAGTTTGGTGTGGTCCAAACAGCAATAAGGCTGTTTCTAGTAGCCCCCATAGGGTATCATTTGCATCTCTCGCTTTGAAATAAAAAAGAGAACTGTGGGTTTTTTAAAAATTCAGTCTACAAATAGTTACATGGAAATTTGCCCAGGGTTATTCAGTCTTAAATCTCTACATATGAAACATGTATTGTATAAAAACCTTAAGAAAATTTAGTTTGTTCCCCTGTTGAATTTTACATATACAAGATGGCATAAACCAAACTGTTAAAAATGATTTTTGACAAATATGATTATGATTAGTAAAACATCCTTTAATCCTTGATATGGACAAACTAATTCCAAGGTGCTGTATAAGTTCTCACTATAATAAAATAGAATGTTTTCTTCTCATTCTAGATCATACACAATGTATGTGTGCGTGAACACTTGAAGGGCATATCTTCAGTCCTACCTGTATCAGTTATCTAACAAAAATGTACAAAGTTTTAGTATTAGAATGTGAAAAACTCCCAGCTGTAGAACTCGGCGCTACCCCCCTATATAAAGGACCTGCCACTATGGCACCCCCCCCCCAAACACTTACTCTCTGGAACCACCTCTTTTCAGTTCCTAGTTACCCAATCAAAACATGCACCTCTACCAAGTGGCTGTTTTCAGCCTAGAACTTTTAAAAAATCAAAGTAATGCGATAGAAAGTAAAAAGATGTGAAAGGAAATTGAGTACTAAAATCTTTACAAAAATAATCACTAGTAATCAATTTCTGAACAGCTAATGATCTGTATAAAAAGTTACCATGCAGAACACAGGGGAGTCTCAACAATATTATTATGGCTAAAAACGACAGTTTTAACGGTGACAAAATATACTGTATGATTTCATGTATAGGACATTCTCAAGAAGATAAAACTGTAGTGGCTGATAAGCATTTACCACAGGTTATGGGTGGGGAGATGTGTCTCTACAAAGGGAAACACAAGGTTTTTTTGTGGGGTAATGAAACTGTTCTGTATCCTGTTGGTAGTGGTGATTAAGCAAACCTACACAGGCTCAATTTCATAGACCTATACACCAAGAAAAGTAAATTTTACTGTATATTAAAACAGAAAACACAGAAATTATAAGCCATGTTAACTGTAAGGGAAATTTTTGTTAATAACAGTATCAAGAATTATTTTGTTGGATGAAGGAAAAGTTAACTTACGGCTATTATGAAATTCACCCTAACTAATCAGGGCCACAGAACTCTCTACCCCCACCTTGTGGCAGAAGGTTTCTGTATAAAACTGGTATTAACAGACTGGCATCAAGCCATGGAATGCAGAATATACCAAGGCCCCATTTTAAACCCTAGCAGAGATTACAGATTCACCAATTACTTGTATAATGGAGGAAAAAAAGAGATTTCAGTGGGCATATAAAAGGATACACATTAAAACAAATTCTCTAGAACTGAAAAATGATCAACAATCAAGCAATGAATGGGAAATGAAAAAACATTTTCCCTAATTCCTTGTTATTAGCTAGATAGTTTTTCATTGAATCTTTATAACAGCGTATTAAACGTCCCTCTAATTACAATGTATATGAAACTAGGGCACTCTAGAAAAGCAGTTTCTGCAATGGATCCTTATAAAATCTAGGACATTTCTATGAAGGCATTTCTGTGGAGAGTAAGAGAAATATAAATTTAAGTACAGACCTTTATGACGAGCTGACTTAAAAAAAAACAGGAAGAGGCTATAACTGTGGCTCAATAATCAAATGTTGCCTGCTGGAGAGTCTTAGCAAAAACAGGTAAGCAAACAAATTTACCTGGTTAAGATCCAAATATGGAGAAGTAGTGTATTTAGTACAAACGTAAAACCCCTGCATAATAGTGGGGAAAGTTTAACAGTTTATTCAACAGAAGAACCGAGAGGGGTCCATCTCTAAGGACAGAATAGAGATAGCTGGTGTCTCAACAGCCCACGGATCACCTTTGCAACACCCTTTGTGCTCCAAGTATTTTACCAGCAGTGTGTGTTCTTTCAAAAGATTTCCTTTATTGGCCACATAATAATTTTTTGCATTGGAGTTGCAGATAAGCAAATTCCAACACACAAAATATTTCCTTTTGTTTTGTGAATGTGACACTTAACTGACACCTAGTGGTAGGAGTATGTACTACCTTCAAGAATCAAAAGGGTTCACTTGTTTGAATCAGACCAATTCAATCATGGCCCACTATAGTAAAAGCCACTAACCACTTGTGGCTGGCTACTCAATACTTAAAATGTGGCTAGTTCCAACTGAGATGTGCTCAAAGTGTAAAATAATGCCAGATTTCAAAGACTTAGTTTAAAAAAAGGAATACAAACTATCTCATTAATAATCTTATATACTCATTGTAAAGCTGAAATACTTTTGATATCCTGGGTTATTAAATTATATTACTAATTTCACCTACTTCTATTTAACTTTTTATGTAGCTACTAGAAAATTTAAAATGACATCCATGGCTTACATTATAATTCCACTGACCAGAATTGATCCATACTAAGAAATCACAAAAACACAATTTTGATCAAAAAACAATTGTGAAAGGTATCATAAACAGAGAAATACAATGTCTGTACTGTTTAGGGAAGCAATTCTAAACTAGTGTGCCACAAATATTTTTTTTAATATTTTATTTATTTTATTTTAGAGCAAGGGGAAGGGAAGGAAAAAGACAGGGAATAAAACATCAGTGTATGAGCCCTGGCTGCCGTAGCTCAGTGGATTGAGCACAGGCTGCGAACCAAAGTGTTGCAGGTTTGATTCCCAGTCAGGGTACATGCCTGGGTTGCAGGCCATGACCCCCAGCAACCACACATTAATGTTTCTCTCTCTTTCTCCCTCCCTTCCCTCTCTAAAAATAAATAAAAATCTTAAAAAACAAAACAAAACATCAGTGTGTGGTTGTCTCTCACACCCCTCTACTGGGGACCCGGCCCCCAATGCAGGCAGGCATGTGCCCTGACTAGGAATCAAACTAGTGACCCTTTGGTTCGCAAGCCCACGCTTAATCCACTGAGCTATACCAGCCAGGACCACAAAAATTTTTAAAACATGCAATACCTTACTATTTAGTCAGGGGCACCAACCTCTTTTCCCTTGGATTGTCAAATTAGAAAATGACAACAGCCAACATAATAATTGCTGCCCAGTATGAATGAATCAAAATTATGCCCCCTTTTTTTTGTCAGCTAGGCAAAAAACATACATTTTGGTATGCTACAGAATTTGAGTAATTTATGTGTGCCACGAGATGAAAAAGGTTGAAAATTGATGGTGTAGGGGTGATATAGTTAATGTAAGAAGGTAAGATTAGAGTAACAGTTTCATATTGTCTCTGGAGAGAATGTATTCTATACATGGTTTGACAGTTTGAACTGTATCTGCAATGTTTTAAAAAATATAAAAAGTTTTGAAGTAAATATAACAAAATGTCAAGTTTAACAAAGCTAGGTATAGAAATGTTTTTTATTCAAAGTAGAAAATGAGTTAGAAATCAGGATTAGTATCTAGCCCCTTCAAAAACATGGTCCCAACTTACCTCTGACTCCCAACAAAACTCCATCTATCAGCCAAACAACTTCTCACCAATGCCATAAAACACTTTTTCACCTTAATCTTTAGAGCTCCTACACACCCACAGAAACTCAGTTTAAATTATCACCTTATCTATGAGGTCTTTTCCAAATATCCCAGGCAAAGCTTGGACACATTTCTTGATGCTTTCAGTGCTTCGTTTGTACCTCTATTATAGTTTATATTTCAAGTTCTTCACTTTGCTTCTTTTATTTAACATAAAGGTTAGCAACTGTGACCCACAGGCTACTCATCTGTTTTTGTAAATAAGGTTCCATTGGAACACAGCCACACCCACTCATTTATGTATTGTAAATGGCTACAACAGAGCTGAGTAGTCCCCAACATCACACTACCTGCAAAGCCTACAATATTTACTAGCCGGCACTTTGTTTACAGCTTGTTATTATAATGTTAAAACTAATATCCTTGACATAAATAATTTCCACATGCATAAGTATATCTGTAGAAA